GTCATCCAATGATTTATCAGTATTTACTTGAATGAAAAAAAAAAATTTTTTTTTGATATCTTGATATATATAACTAACTATTAGAGATTGTAGTTAATTATTATTGAGTCAACTAATCGACTAGTCAACTTTTTTTAGTCGATTTATATATACAACTAACTGATCTAATATATATATATTTTGTATTAACATAAAAAATAAAACTGTTATTAGATTATTATAGTTATATAAAACTGGCTTAAAAATTTAAAGAAGGCATTTAACAATATTTGAAATAAAGTGCATAAATAATAAAAGCTAATTATATCATAAGTTATATTGTTAATATTAAAAGATAAAAGTTTAGTATTTAAATTTACTTTTATAAAATAAATTAATTGAATGGTTTGAATACTTTTGATAATTCACAAATTTAGTTTCTAATCAAAATTTTGTATTTTGGGTTCTATCACATATTGATATACATATTACATAATTGCATATCAATATGTATATTTGATTTTGTAAACTAGTTGACTTTAGTTGATTATTTTATCAACTAACTAAAGTCAATTTTTTGATATCAACTACTATCACTACCAACTATACGATATTTAACTACTACCTTTGACTATAAATTAATTACATTATTTTATCATAATATATTAAATTAACTAACTATATGATATTTAACTACTACTATAGTATATATATACATATTTTTCACATATTCTAATTTTACATCATTAATTATCTAAATAATCCACATAATCACAGAACCTAGATCTTTAAAAGAACTAACATGAAAGCAATAAGTATTATAATTATTATTATTATACTTTATGAATATTATTAATTCTTCTCCTTAATTCAAGTTCAGTTTTTGATTGTTATGCCTAAAGATTGGAACCATTTAAAAATTAATTTTATTGATTTTAAGCAGTTAGAGGTCAGTAATATTACATATAATCAGCATTAATAAAGCTAACTTTTTCTTTTAACACAAAAGAGTACCAATTCGAAATCAGAAACCTGAACCTTAGATTTAAAACCCCCTATTGTTTTTTTATAATTAAAAAAAATCAAGTAAGTTCATCTATTTTTATACTATACAGTACATTATTTTTTAGATTCACCTTATTTTACTGACCTGACAATTATTTTACTGAAAACTTACTTAGTCGATATTACACCAAATAGCAATTTACAAAAAACGCTAATTCTAACTCTATATGATGTTAGCTATAATTGTCAGTGAGCGGTTAGTTTTAGTATAAAAAATATCTATCACTATTGTATATAAATACAATAATTATCATAATAATAGTATGCAATTCTTATAACCTACAGTATATGTAGTTATAGCAGAGATACCTATTCTTAAAAAAAATCTCTAAACAATAAATTGTATAATTGACACAATAACTTTGTAATCATGCTTAAAAGTTTTCTTTGATTTCTAATCGTAGTTACTAACTTATTTTGTTAAGGTTGACTTTTGTTAAAGTTTGTATAAAATTCTCAATTCAGACATTAATATATTTGAAAATAAAAGCTTTTAAAAATGTGAGATATAGCAGTAATAAAAAGTAATATTTTTAAATTTCAAAATTCAAAGTTTTCTTTTCATAATGGATCAATTCACTTTTACCATCAGTTCTACTCAGTTTATTAATTACATATCTCCTTTTTCTCAAGATAATAATACAATTTATCAAACTCAACAAGCTAATACTTTAAATAAATTTGAAACTATAGATTATGAATTGGATTATAGTGATCCAATTCCAAGTAGTAAATTTTGGTCAGATTCTGAGACAAGGGCTCTAATTTCTTATCTAGCAGACAATTTTGATTTGTACTGTAAAAATAAAACAAAATTTTATAGCATGGCTGCAAATAAAATTGGTAATAATAGAACTAGCGCTCAAGTAAACTTGAAAATTCAGTCACTTAGGTCAAGATATGAAAATAAAAATAAAGAGGAAACTGGAAAAGCCAAATCAAAATGGCTGACTTGGATGATATAAATGAAATTTTCAGAAACAGAGAAAACGTAAAACCAGATTACTTGATATCCAGTAATGATATGGTAAAATAAATTTATTATTGTTATAAATTCTTAAAGTACAATTGCTCTCTATAGCTCCATAATTATAAAAGAGGATGATTGTATATTATATTTACATTTACTAATTATAAATTTATTTTAATATGTAGGATGAT